ATTTAAAATGTTTACACAAATATGTATATATCAAGTTCTTGAATTAATTTCCATCACACATTTATGAATAATGGTACATGTATTTATGGATCGTTGAATCTGCATTTGCAAATCATCACACATGCGTGGACTGCTTTGAATTTGTGTGTGGTATTTTTGAGACCTTCCTGGCAGGTTAAGATTCATAAATATATATTTTTTGGAGGATGTTAATCTACCAATCAAAACGCTCTTTACTGAACAGACTCAAGAAGCTCAAGCTGCGCTTGAACTGTGCATTGTTCCATGATCGGGTCCTTGATATAAAGACATTTTAATGGGCAGTGTTGGGCAAGTTACTCTGAAAATGTAATTAAATTACTGATTACCGATTACTCCTTTTAAAAGTAATTATGTTACTGTTCTGATTACTTTATTTCAAAAGTAACTAGTAATTAGTTACATTACTAGTTACTGTTACTTTATTCTCCATTACATTTTTGAAATCCCAGCATACATGCTCCCGATAAGTATTCGTTATTAAAGCATCAATATTCACAGAACACTGTTATTTTTAGCTAAAGCAAGCGGCTGCTGCGAGCATGGTTTGGTATTGTAATGGCAGTGAGCGCTAGCAGCCAGGTGCATTATGGGTATTTGTTTAGAGTTGATTTATGTGTTAATTAAGCAAGATGGTTGAGTTTTTGCGTTAGCAATGTTATTTGTGTTTATGTTCAAGTTAGTTCGGGTGGGTTTGGTTCATTTACTGCCTTGTTATAAAAAGTGTGGCTGTCACCGTCATGGAGAGAGATGTGTAGGGGAGGCACTTGGCGATATGGCCTTCCTTGTGTATGTTCTTATTCTGTATTTAGAATTAAAGAAGAAAGATGACGGCATTGCGCCCTGCTGGAATGTTCTGTGTGTGTGCTCCAGCTCACAGAGACACTCAGGGTTTTGCGGTGTATAGGACACGAATGTTCACACTCTACAGTAACCAAAATTTTAAGTCTGTAAGTGTAGATCAATATAGTATACTCTATAATTACTATTTTGAAAATTATAACGCATTAAATTACTCCGTTACTAAAAATTGAAATCAAATGTCAGTAACGCGTTACTGCTAAACACTGTTCCCTTTCAGTCGGTCACTCTCGACGTCACGTCGGATGACCATGAAACCTGCATGCATTTTCGGTCAACGATTCATGCCTAGAGTTCGGGCCGGATGATTCCCAGGTAACCCTGAGGCCCCGGCCCGGCTACGTACCCAAGGTTCCCGCTACTCCCTTCAGGGATCAGGTGGTGAACCTCCAAGCGCTGCCCTCGGAGGAGGCAGACCCAGCCCTAGTTTTGCTCTGTCCCGTCCGAGCCTTAAGGTGCTACGTAGACCGGACGCAAAGCTTAAGGACCTCAGACCAGCTCTTTGTCTGTCACGGAGGCCGGCAGAAGGGGAATGGCGTCTCAAAGCAGGGGATGGCCCACTGGCCATCACCCTGGCTTATCAGGCACAGGGTGTGCCCTGCCCGCTCAGGGTGCGAGCTCACTCAATTAGAGGTGTTGCATCCTCCTGGGCGCTGGCTCGTGGCGCCTCGCTGACAGATATCTGTAGGGCCGCGGGCTGGGCGACCACTAACACATTCGCTAGATTCCATAGCCTTCGTGTGGAGCCGGTATCCTCCTGTGTTCTCACCTCAAACAGGTAGAAGCACTGAG